ACACTAAAATGTCTAGTTTTGCTAGGGAACTAGTCAAATATAGATTACTCAAAGATGGACTTTGAAAAATGAAATCCCAACTTTAGGATAAAGGAATCATAGATTGTTGGAACAGAGATCCAATGATGGGCGAGTAAAGAATGAGAACCACATCAAATAGGGTATCTATTATCATACCTCGAAAGAAAGACAATGATGTTATGGTTAATAATTGAGGAGACCAAAGAAATACTCGATGTTGAATGTTATATCTACTCTTGAATATATCATCATATAATAAATGCCAAGAAGATATTTTGTGACATGGTAAAATTAGAGTTTGAAAAATATGAGAGTGTTTGAGATGATTAAAAGATGATAAGAAAGCACTAAATGAGCAAGTAAGGAAAGAAAGTGGATGAAAAAATAGAGAACATAAGGTTTGACTAATTAATCAATTTAGCGAGATATAATTATTTTTGGTCCCTTTGCAAGACGAGACAAATTTTCAATGACACACTTCTTTGCCTTATAATGACAAGTGGATCCATCTTCTAAATTTCTAGTTTAACAAATGTTTTGCTGATGAATTAGATTTAATCGATGAGGCGGTAAAATGTGATCATAAATTAGTGGATCAGGTTTTGAACGAGAGGAGACTGACATGCAAAGTTAACACTCCAACACATATCCGTGAGAGAATAAAAGATAATGTAAAAGTGAGAATAAATTTAAATCTCTAAAATATCATGCTTTCTTCTTTATATGTGTGCAATTAAACTATGAGAGATGTCACATTAGGTGGGTGATTCCACTTCTAGTAAGTTAAATAATTAATTATTGGTGGAATAAGAGACCATATACTACATATACTCTTTCAATTGACACCACTCATAAACCTTTCGTATGGATATCGTGAACGGTCCAAACCAACAATCAAGTGTTCAATAAATTAAAAGTTGTTCTTTAAGAAACCAAATTGAATCCAAATTTTTTGATATAGAAGAAAATGTTAAATGTAAACATGAATGGGTCATCTTGGCGATATCATGTTGTGATCCATATTCAAAGTGTAAGATGAAAAGAGAATTATAGTTGCAATGACTTGACTTTTTCTTGATTTTTAAGGAATCTCATTGGGTCATTCTAAATTTGTTTGATACAAATTTAAAATCTCTTACGTTTTGTCTTAACATATCAACAACAAGAATTAAGTATAGCTATTTAATTGACTCATTACTATAAATTTGATCGAAGACTTCATTTTATTATATATTTTTATTTTCAGTTTTATTATAGTTTTAGATCTATAAAAGTATGCACACTTTACCCAAAAATATTTGAATGAAATAATAAGGAATATTTTTATTTTCTAATTTCGTCACATTATAAAGGTTCAAATGTACTCCAATAAACACTAAAAGGAAAAATTGTCTTGATAAGATAGAAAAAGACGAAAGGTTGGTTGGAGAAAGTAATCAACTTTTCAAAGTAGGGAAATTGTATTGTGGAAAAAATGAAGAACGTAATGAAGGTGATGTAAGGAGGGTGACGATTGGAAGAGTAATAAAAAAAATGTGTATGCTCTCAAAAATCAACTTAAATAAACTTGACTTGACGGTCTCTTTAAAATCTTTATTACAAATAAAAGATTCCTATAAATTTTATGGTTATGTTAAAAATAGATGTAATGATAAATTTATTAAAAAAAATTATCTATTATTTTATATAATCATTTCATATATAATGATGTACAATAAAAGGGAAAAAAATGGATTTCTTAATTATAAATTTAATAGAAATATTTTTATAAAAAAATAATTAAAATATGTGAAATTTAAGATAAAAATAAACAGATCATTGAGATTTTTAACATTTGATAAAGTAACTTTACAAAATATCATCAAGTTATCTGCATACATAACATAAGAGGGAACTAACATATTTCTAGCACCATTTATTAATAAAATTTTATCAAGATTAACTAAATGAGTGATGCATCTTCGAAGAACTTCTCAGCTATAAGAAACTTCAAAGGTGAGATAGGGTCACCCCACCTCACACCTCTTTGACACGTAAAAAAAACTAGCATCCTTACTAGTAATACATATAAACAACTTAAATGAAGAGAATGAAGAGATTTTTTTATGGACTAACTTTCTTTCTTGTAGGTACGGTGACATTAAAAGAGTAGTGCTTAGCGTGTCTTCTTTTTATTCAAGGATCAAAGTTTTTCTTTGGTGGAGGGACCTTTGTTCGCTTGGTTGTGAAGAATAGACCCCTTTGGGTAATTAGTTTACTTCTTCTATTTCTTGCAAGGTCAGAACAAGTTCTTTTTTGGAATTTTCGGGTGATCGTTGGTTGGGCACAACTCCTCTTAATTCTCTTTTTTCGGATCTGTTTCTGCTGTCAGATTCTAATTATTCGAAGTGGCAAACATGGGTTGTTGGCAGGGTGATGTTTGGCGTTGGTCCGTGCGACTATTGCGCGACCGAGACCCCCAGGTGGACAGCGCCTAGCTACTGGACATGCTGCAGATGTTGTTGCCTCTGCATCCAGTCCATACTGTCCCGGACAATTTTGTATGGTGGTGGCATCCAAACAGTTTTTTTCGCAATGCATATGATTCCATTATTGTGGGTGACCCGTATAGGTCAGAGTTGGATGTTGAATTTGCGTCAGCTTTGTCCTGTTTATGGAATTCAAAGGTGCCAAGTAAAATCCTTATTTTTGGTTGGAGATTGTTTTGGAATAGGCTCCCTACAAAGAGGGAATTATTGAACCGTGGTATTTTATCGGGGGCTCATTTGGTTTGTCCATTATATTTTGGTTTTGAGGAAGATTTGAACCATTTATTCTTTAGTTGTAGAATTTCAAAGTTGTGGTGGAGCAAGGTTTGCAATTGGCTTCGGTTGGAAGACATTCCTTTGAATTGTTCTATTTTGGGTCGAATTACTATGTTGGATACCACTTGTAAGTAGGCTTTTTCTTTGGATTTGGGGTGATTTTTTGGTTTGGTTATTTATTGGGTGATTTAGAAATTTAGGAATGATATTCTTTTTAATGATTTTGTACTGTCTAAATTTGATGGAGGTGTGTCCCATTAAGTCTCTTTCGTGAGAATGGTTTAGTGTGTGTTTTAGAGCTGAAAATAATGTTATGTGGTCAGATTGGAGTAGCGATCCGAGGATGTTTTTTAGGTGAGATCAAGTGGTTGTTTGGTCGATTTTTCCTTGGAGTTTGTCCCTTTTGTTTTTTCTTCTTTGTATCTTTGAGTTAAGCACCCCTAGTGCTTTTTATATAATCCATTTTACTTATAAAAAAACATATAGACAACTTAGTTGATGGCAAAATAGTTTGAATTTAATTATGAAATTGAGAATTAAAATTAAAATCTTTAAGCACTCTATCAATAAAGGAACAATGAACTGTATTAAAAGCTTTGCTACTACCAATCTTGAGAGTAAAGTTACCACCAAAAGTTCTTTGATATAAAAGATCGATTACTTCAGTAACAAGAAAAATATAATCACCAGTGTGCGTGTCTTTAACGGTTCCTCACTAATGAAGAGAAATGATATTAGGCATAATTAGATCTAATATATCAACAAACACTTTAGTGATAATTTTAAATTTAAAATTGGTAAAAGTAATAGACCTATAATGTTCCATCATAGAAGCATCAAAAATTTTAGAAATAAGAATTATCTTACTAGAATTGCAATTATCAAGAAGCCAATAAAGCCCAAAGAATTAAAGAACATCTTTGAAGACATCATTACCAACAATTTTCTAATAATGTTGAAAGAAGTAAGCCTCAATACTTTCAAGGACAAAAGCTCCATCAATATTCAAGCTAAAAGTAGTTGTCTTAACCTCCTTAAAAACTAGGTAGGTTAGTGATCATAGCATTCATTTATTGGCCTATCAAACCAAGAATATAATCCTCTAGTAAGCCATCAACCAAGCATTGATTATTAGAGTTCAAAATATTTTTATAATAAGAAATGAATTGATTCTTAATATTCACATCGTTCTTCATCCACCGACCACCAAGATGTGCACAAATCCTGGGCGTGAGGGGGGAGGGGGGGTGTCAAAAGAGTCTCACATCAGACAAGCTAGTTCTTCATCCTGGGCGTGATGTGAGACTCTTTTGCCACCCCCCCCCCCCTCACGCCCAGGATTTGTGTTTGGGACGTGAAACTAAATGGGGTGGCCTAATGATCTTAAATGAGGCTCCGATACCACCTTAAGAATGTGTGGTTGAGCCTAACTCAACCTTAGAAAATCGGCTAATAGGACGAGGATTGTCCTCACTTATAAACACATGTTCAGACCATAAATTGTCTGATATAAGACTCTTAACAATAAAAAAAGTGAACTTTGGGTTGAGAAGAAGAATTAGATGGAGCTAGACGAGACTATGGTAGAGCGTGATGCCCCATAACGGCCATGAGGAGTGACCATGGGAAATCGTCCCAAATTTTTTTATGAAATACAAATAAGATATTTATCTATCGTAACATTGTTTCGACAATATAACCGTTGAAAAGCGTAATACTGTATCTCACGAAAATTCTACCTAAAAATAAACTTGATCCAATCGATCTGAAATCACTATTTTACTAAAACAAATTTTAGAAAAACGAGAATAAGGTTTCTTACCTTTTTTTTTCTTTTTAAACCATCTTTTCAAAAATCTCTCCAAAAAAAAAAGGAAGTCCTCCATGGCTATCAACACTATTTATTTTTTAATGATCAATATTAGCATTTGTTAGTATTATACATAAATGATATTTCAAACCTCGAATTTTTTATGCTTATTTTCCCCTACGCGCGCTTGTATCTATATATACGCCATATGGCAAGTGACGAAACATATATGACATCATTTTAAGGATGTTATAATTTTCACTCTCTTTCCTCCAACTTTCCTCAAACTTTTCCATCTTTCACAACTGTATATATCTCCACAAAACTTTCACCTAAACATTTTAATTTCTTTCGCCAAAATAGCAATGGATTCAACATGCATCGACACTTCACTCAATCTTAACAGCATCAATCTTCCTTCCACATACAAGGTTCGTACGCACATATTTAATAATTTCTTTTTAAAGTTATTTCATATATATAGTTTGACGTTGAAAATTTGGAACTCAGAACGAAGTTTTGGTTGAAGAGTTACATCGGTTGAGCTGCGAGAACAAAAGACTAACCGAAACATTAACAAACATGTGTGAGAGTTACGAAGCTATGCAAAAGCAATTGAGTCAATTGATGATGAATCAGAATTTTGAAAACCAAACACAAGAATCAAGGAAGAGAAAATTTGAGAGTGAAAGTTGCATGAACATGTATGGTTGCGTTAGAGAGTGCAGCAATGTTAGTGATGAAGAATCATTGATGAAAAGACCTTGTAAAGATATTTCATCGCCTAAGGCTTATAAGGTTCTTGTGAAGACAGAAGCATCTAGTAATAGCTTGGTGAGTAATAAGTATCTTATGAGTTTGGTTAATCATTAGTTTTATTTTTCTATTAACTTCAAATTTTGTGTCTAATCTTTGATTTGTATTTTTGTGATGTAAAGTATGTGATGGATGGATATCAATGGAGGAAATATGGTCAGAAGGTTACTAGAGATAATCCTTCTCCTAGAGCTTACTTTAGGTGCTCCAAAGCTCCAAATTGCCCAGTTAAAAAGAAGGTAATAATTCAAACTTTAACCATAAATATACAACACTATGAAAATTTTGCAGAATAATTTTGGTTGGTTTATAGCCAAAAATCAATAGTGTTTTTACTCTTGTGTGATTATGATTTAGGTGCAAAAAAGTTTAGAAGACCCTACTATACTAGTTGCAACATATGAAGGAGAGCACAATCATGGTCATGAAAAAGCTGAAATGTCGATGATATCAAACCAATGTGAAGAAGCCCGTTTAGGTTCAGTTCATGTTTCTTCACCTAAACAAATTATGGAAAGGACTTCTCCAACCATGAAGCTTAACTTGGCTGACAATGTTCAAAAATCATCTATCCAACAATTTTTGGTTCAACAAATGGCTACTTCTTTGACAAATGACCCCAATTTCACTATAGCACTTGCTAATGCTATTTCAGGAAGAATTCTGGACAATGCTTCTAATAAAGCTAAAATTTGAATTTGATGTGTATAATGTATTGGATTGAGTATAAATTGTGCTGTTTTGTTTGATTTTTGTGAGAGACTTGTAATGTGTCAAAAGCTCACAATTTAGGATGTAAATGAAAAAAAATATTTAAAAAAAAATGGAATTTTATTTCTCTAATTGGTGTATTTCAGTGAAATTAATTCAAAGCTTCAAATTGAATTAGATATTTAATTTAGAGTTTTGATTAATTTCAACAAATAATAATCAATGATCTCAAATTAAATTGATATTGATTAGCTAAGATCACAATCAAGAATAAGGAAATATAAACAATTTTTTTAGAGGATTTTTTTTTCTACTCTATGCATTTCTTACGCATCATGTGGTCTTCAGTTTTTGGAGATATATTTTCGGACGCACTATTTTTAGCTCCAACAAAGGTCATTCTGAGTGGCTCCCTATACATTGAATAAAATTTTATTTCGGAGATATCTAAGTGGCGCCCTATAACTCATGAAAGTTATGATTTTTTATCGTATATTTTAACATTGCTGGTAAAAAAATATCTAAGTGAAAAAATTCTTTTGATGAAATTGTCTATATGAGTTATAAAATTGCTAGTATCGCCAAGCAAATTTTGTTAAATGCGTGAATTTTGCGCTAATTTGAAAAAATGGTTTTAAAGTTGTCAAGGATAATCTATTCAATTCACTCAATGTGTGGCGATGACAGGTATAAGCATGGGGTAACATAATCTAACTCATTCATACGAGACTAATTACATATGGGTTTGTAGCACATTAAAACAACTCGGGTTGTTTTCTTTTTCACTCATCCTAACACAGATCATAGCTAGTAAATGTGCCACTTCATTGTTGCTCCTGAGAGTGTGCTTGAAATTATCTCTTCAAACCCATCATTTAACTTCCACATGTTTCTGCATGTCATACCATCCTTTTTTGTGGTAACACATTCATACTATTGTTCATCATCTGCACAAGCTCTATGTTATCAAATTCAAACATCATTCGTTTAAATAGGCATGTGCTGTAGTGGTTCAGGTTCAAGTTCATCATTTACAAGTGGTTCAGGTTCAGGTACATGAGTTGCAGGTGGGTCAAAGACCTGTGTTGCAGGTGGTTCAGGTTCAGCTATGTTCGAACATTGGTGACAATATGATAGGATATATGGTTTTGGGCCATTTGCTTTGCCCGTTTATAGGACTAACAACTTCATTATAGCATTTATTTTAAGTATACATATGATAACACTTATGTACATACTTAATTTGATCATCAACCTTCCTATGTATTGCAGCAACACCATGTCTACATGGGATCCCAACCAAGTCCCAAAAGTTAAATGAACAAGTGTGTTTTGTCA